TAAACTATTTATAAGAATGGTTTTAATTAAAAAGGTCATCATGTAAATTATGGTATCTGGATGGAGAGCTACTTTATTATCTTAAAAATTCCCAATAAAGGTGAGTGTAAACTTTTTATCTACTAACCTATTGTGATTTATATTTTTACATTTCTAATTAGTAATGTTCGAAGTACCTATATAAATTCCTATATTCTATGTGAAATGAGTGAGAAAGCATAAACACGACTTTTCAATGTACCGAACAAATTAAAACTATCATATCATATTCATGTGACGAAATTATTTTATCAAAAAACGCAAAGAATCTATTTTTTTTCATAGAGACAGTTGCATGACAAAATTAATTCTATTTTTTTATCGTTTTTCATGAAATCGGAAATTGTACTACAAAATTAGTTTACACAAATAAATAGTAAGTATATTCGATAATACACGATATACACGATAATATAAAAAATGTGCATGTATTTTTATAATTTCTTTATAACTCGATAAAGATAATAATTATAGTAAAATACTTTTGATTAATGATCATATTTAATCAGAAAATGAAGATTGCTAATAAGCAAGTAAAATTTTTTTTTATTATTATTAGGTAGGTACCCAACCTACACCAAGTAGATTTAACTAATCAAGACGTTACTTATAAAGTTATAACTAAAACTCCATAGAAATTGCATCTCAATAAAACCATTAACCAAAAAATGGCTGGACCCTCCAGTAAAGCTTACACGACATGAAGAGACCATGATCGCCAGAGTACGCATCAGACATACTAGAATCACCCACTCCTATCTTATGCATAGAGAGCTCAAACCCAGGTGTGAAACGTGCAACTGCGAACTCACCGTTAATCATATTCTTAGAATGCCCCACTTACCATAACGCCAGATCAAAAGCAAACATAAACACCTCCTCACTCAAAGACGCACTCGGACCAGGACAAGAAAAAAACATAGTTAACTTTATCAAGATGGCCGACCTCACAACCAACATATAAGACAAGAACCAAAGACAGCACATCACAACTATCAAATCTCCATTATATTATAAATTAAACATGTAAACCATTGTAGGCTAATAAACCTTTGTATTTGAAACGTGTATTTGAAGCCTTTAATTAATAAAAAAAAAAAAAAGAAAAATTGCATCTACAAATGTTTAATGAGATATTATTAACAATAAATATTATGGATTATTTCAATATTATGAAAAGAATGTCCATAAGAAATACATTTTACATATTGCTATGTTTTATGCAAAAATTATTTTATTATTACTTAGAAATACTATTTAGATAAATTAATGTATCCTATGTATATTTTTGTAAGGTAATAAAAAAAATATAAAATCATATTTTCTTTAGTTTACAATATAATATTATAATATTATAACATAAAATCAATACCTATTTTTTTTTAAATTTCAACTAGTGATAAAAATAATCATGATCCGTGTAGGTACAACATCAAATCATGTGTGAATTCCAAGACAGTTGACGTCAATCACAAAGTCCCGTAAGACGTAAATAGATATATTTATAATACGCTAAAAAAATATGATAAGAACTTTTGTCCATATATAATTTTGTATATTATACCTATGTATAATAACAGTCATCAATATTTCTATACATTATGAATCAACTATTTAAAATTTAAAAATTAATTTGAATACATAAAATAAATATCAATTAAGAAAATTAAACCGAAGTATTTTAACATAAAACAAGAGATTCTAATTTAAAATACAAATTTAATAACTATAATCACTAGCCCGTATAAAATAATCTATAAAAAATTATGACCATCTAAAGAAATATTTTATTTTGATAAACATTTTAAAGTAATACTTTATGCAATTTTGCACTAGTTAGATGAACTCTGGACAAATATTTGATAATAAATTATAATATCATTAAGCAATAACTTATCAAGATAAGCACTGTTAAAAAATGTTGTTTGTAGACTTAGGAAACACATTAATTAAAATTGTTTTATTGAGACAAACAACAATTAGAAGAAGAGTCTTTAAAATTTCAATTGACTTATAAATAAAAATAACTAAACAATTCTTAAAATATTAGGAAAAAGTTCACATTTGCAAACTAAACAATTCTTCATGAATTATTTATTCAAGTAGCATTTAATTGACATATTATAGAAGTGATGGACATCAATCGTTTAAAAATCACACCTATGAAAATGATTGTAAAATATAAATATATAAATCTTATACTTCTATGAATAACTAATAAAAACTAAAATTAATCATGGTAAAAATGTCTATGCATAAGAAGTTTTAATTATTTTTATACTTAAAATATTAATATAACTAATAGACATTATTTGTAACTACGTACAAATCTAAAAAAAAGTAAATAGGTACATAATATGTTTAATGTTAAACATAATATCACGCGATAATTCGTATGTATAAAGTAGGTATAATATAGTTAAAAAAAATAATATTAAACCATTTTAACTGTTATTCGTCACAGAAATAAATTCAAACGCAAAATAAATGCAAAATGTTAGTTAATATTTTTAAATTTAAAATTTAAAATAAAATGATTGATATCATAAATACGAAATAATAACATAGTAACTAGTATTGATTCCTCAGCTATATCACAACTTCAGTATTATATCTGCTAAAATATAATTTTAATTACATAATAAGTTTCGATAAATTGCTTCACGCGGTACGTAATCAAATACAATTAGTTTTATCCCACGCGCGGGGTCCAGGAGAGAAAAATAATTACCATTATATGGTATTATGTGGTAATAGGTATATATAATATAATATACAGTATATCATGTATTAGTATGTGTATACCTAATATATAAGTGGTTCACATAATAGAGCAGTATTATATTTATTATATTATATAAAAAAATATAGTAATAATGATCTCCCAGGAACTCACAGCCATCAAGATCAAGGTTTTTATCTGAACGATATACCTACGTATTACGTATTATTTTTCGTACATATATTTTATTATTATTATTTCTACTGTGTACTTGCCCACAAAAAACGACGAAGCTATTTCCTAACCAAACAATACTATAAACGTGTATATTGTTATGCCGTTATGCCATTATGGCAATCGTATTTTATGGTTTTGCCGACGGGCGGGCTACAATATGAGTGATTTAACCCAGCACAACTCATGCCCCACTCCCACAAACACACCAGCCGATCGAATGATTACAAATTAAAACATTGAAAGAGTTACGTCGTCATCGTCGCGTGCTCGCGTCGGTCGTGTACCTATAACTACATTTTCTAGTGGATATAAAATTTATGTTTTAAATTTTTTTTTTCATTTACGATGCGTCTCATGATGAAAACACAATATTATTATGTCGTACACAGCGAAGGCCTCCAATAATTTTCATCACACACTTTTCTCGTAGTATCACATTACTCACACACGCTGCTGCTACACGTATAATAATAAATTATATTTTATAGCGTTACTATTGTCTATTATAGAGCTTTGAATCTGTGATGTGCCATATTCACCACGGGTGCAACACGTTCTCCCGCGGGCCTCATTAAAATATTATTATATATGTGCGCAATTGATACGATTAAACTCCAGTGAAAAATCGTAATCCAATACACACGGCGATTGATATCGGTATAATATTATATTATATCATAATATGATTACGCGGTGTCGACGATTCAAAGACAAATAAGGATTTTTTTCAATCAAGCCTTTTTTTGTGCGCCAAAACTCGTTGCAGTTTATAATATTATATACATCATCATAATTCACGATTTTTCATAAATCACGACTCCCTTCCTCACCTGTTGCCGAAACATCACCACCCCTCAATGCACACCGCAATCTTGGGTCACTGTGTTATTGAAACGATTTTCGAAAATTAATTTCCCCTACGGCTATTATTACCCGACAATAAATTTATTTTCAGGAGCTCTTGGTAAACGTATTATTATTAACGCTGATGTTACGCAATGATAATTTTGTGATCAAAGACCCTATTTTATTTTATCGCGCCCGCGTATAATCGGCACATCCGTAACACATAATATAATATGTTGTCGATTTGTCGAATATAATATACGACAACACGATAAAATTACATAATTTATATATTATTATACCAATAAAATCGAAATATTATTCATCATATTTATTTTCATCACCCCTGCGTAGGTACTCAATAATAATAAAAACAAAGCAATTTTAAAACAGGTGCAATTTTTATTGATATTTCTAAATCTCTTGGTACATCAGTCACCAGAATCTCTATTTTTTTTTATAAACAGTCTATTTATTAGCTAATCAATAAGATAGTTTTTAACAAAAAATAACGTGCTATACGCTATACCTACTATATAAAGACACAAAACAATAATAAAGAGGAACAGACGAACCCTTTTAAATTTTTCTCCTAACTTATCATTTAGAATACTGATATTGTAAAAATTTATTAAGAAGTAAAACGTATTATTTAAACATATTATTTTTAAAGTATTTGACAAAACCATTATAGGACTTAAAAAACACGAAGAAAATAAACATACCTACATTATTTTAATTCACCAATAAAATTGTAAAATACTATACTAGCAATTTTCGCTTAAAATAATCTAGACAAAAACGAAATATTATGCAACTTTATGTTAGTATTAATAAGGCTATAATGTGTTCAGTATCAGATTTTAGCATACAAAATATATAATTGCAATAATAACTAGAACGACAGATCTAAAACTAAAACTAGGGCGTCATGACAGTAGAAATAGTTATGTGTATGACAATGCTTTAAGAAAATTAACTAAATAATTAATAAAGTAAATTACGCGATTTAACATAGTAGGTATAGAACAAACATTTCGAACCACATTAAAATTTAGTTGTTTATTTATAATCTTTGACCAAAGATAGGAATTTAAAAAAAACAAAATGTAATACATTTAGTACTATATAAATTATATCCTATGATTTTACTTACAGTTATCACTCTCATTTTTCAGCAAGTACATATTTTGTATTCCAAATGTGTTATTTGACTAATGTGATGAATATTTAAAAAAAAACGACACTTCTGTTTGAACTTGTATTATAAAATTCACTATTATTATAACATTAAAACTCTATAAAAAATAGATTAGTTTGTTGACGCAGAGTACAGTATTAACAAATCAATATAGAATTTACGACGCGAAACACGTACTCAACGTCTTGCGACGAGAAACGCCAACGGCCAACTGGTTCGTGAAACGATTACATTCTCGATCGGGCAAAAATTTAAATTATCACTAGTCCATTCAACCGAGTAGCAGAAAACTAGCAGTTCGCAGACATCGGTCGGTTACTAGCGCTCTCCGCGGCTTGTTACCACACCGATGACGACCACATGCATTTTGACAGTAACGCCGCGACCTATCTAATATAGATAATATAATAATATACACTATTCAGCTCAGTTATATTTTCTCGACAACCCACGTCGTCCCGACTGACAGACTCCCCCAAGTAGAAAAACAATTTCCAATGTCACTTTTAGATTTTAATCGATACAAATACAAATTAGGTATATCCTATAGGATATTAGATATTTAAGTATTTTGAGTTAAAAAATCATAATTTATTAGCTTATGACATAAGGCTTATGTAAACGAAACATAAAACATTTGAATGATATATTTTCCATAAATTTATTAACCTTTTTTTGTGGCACTTTATGTATAGGTACATTAGTATTGTAAATATAATAAATATAAGTTTTAAAACTATTTATATTTACCAATATATAGAAGTTGTATAAATAAATGCATTATTTTCAACTTAATATTATTATGTATAGATTCTTTAACACGAAATTTGAGTTTGCTACAAATTAATTCAATTTTAAACTGTTATTTTGCATTTTTTTTAACGTTTTTCAATTTTTCATTATTAGTTTCAATATTTTTAATAATATAATAATTTATATAATGTAGAATTATATAATGTAATTATATATCATATTGCTATTAAATAACAATGGTTTTTGTCTATAAACATTTTGTATTTTGTACATTCATCGCACTAAATTAATATCTTTACATAATTTAAAATATTTAAAGTAATTGGTTTTCCTTAGAATTCTCTTCAAGAAATTTAAAAACAGATTAAATTAATGCCTTCATATGTAAATTTGTAATTTACCATTTTAGATTCTGAGTGGAGCAAGGAATGAAAGTATTTTACCATGATGTGTGTGTTGGTACGTTTTGGGGCAGTAAAAGTGCTTAGATTTTCGACTTTAGTAACTCTTTCGATAAGAAAGTAAATCTAATTGGTACTTTGGGGGGTAAAAAGTAAAAAATTCTTAATATTTTTCTAAATAATTGGGATAAACAAACTAAAAATGAAGGGAAAATACGGGAAATTTTATGCACAATCAGTTTTTGACAAAATCGTTTTTGGTTTTTGATGTAACGTTAATACATGAAGTAGATACATGAAATTTTCAACAAAATGTTTGTATAATTATATTCTATCCACCATGCAATTTTCAAAAAATTTCGACTTAAGTTGAACTATTTATAGACATACGCAATTTTCGATCATTATTAGTTTTTTTTAAAATTAATATCGATATCAAAATCTATTTGTTGGGTAGAAAATCTTAAAAATTTAACACAAGGTTCCTAACATATTGTTACAATAGCAGTTGAAAAATAAAATAAATTCATAGTCACATTTTTTTTTTTATAAGTATTCAAAGTTTGAATTTTTACAAAATACGTAAAAATCACAAAAATTCGCAAATTATTTTAAGCTAGAAATTCATAAAAAAATTTCTTTTTAAATCTAAGATTTGAAAATTTTTAATAATCTATTGCTATAATAATATATCCTAGACAGATAAACCGTCTTCGCTCAGAATCGTTTTTCTTAAACAATGATATAATATAATTGGATTCAAATTTAATTCCATCCGGCATCCATTACAGTAACCCACTTGTAAATTACTATACAGCAGAGCGACATCCACGACTTACCCGCTTTTTTTTCATTTAAATAGAATTGTCCTACAGTACTTGAACTAATACGTGGCCGGGTGACTATATAAATTAAACCACACCTCTTATACCTAAGTTGATATATTAATTCACATCATTATTTTTTATTTCAATAAATTTTATATTTGAACAACTATTAAAAATGACTCATGCCATTACATAATAATTATTTTAAATCTAATAACATAATAATTACAGACGGTACTAAACACGTACGCCAGTGTATTGCATATTCAAAACGCCTATAATATTTTATTATAGCTACCTATAATTGTATAAATGTTCTTACGGTCCTTTTGAATTATAATTTTAATAAGAAGTAGATACTTGATTAATAGATTAATATATCACTATAAATTTGTATAATATGTTTTTTTAAATAAGTTTATTAGGTTATATAATATAATAATATAGCATAATAAATTATTATAGTGGATGTACACATACACTATGCATTAAATGGGTACACCGAAATAGGTACCAACATTAAAAATATATTGAGAAAATACCATATATATTATATAATTATAAAAACTAAATAACAATGTGTACGAGTTGACTAAATGATTGACCCCAAACCACAACTAAGACTAATGCTGGGTTGCATAAACAATCAGTCAATAACTAAAAAAAGCTGGTAAGTGCGGCTGTCGCTCTGCATTACAGTAGGTTACAAGTGGGTTACTGTAATAGATGGTATTATATTTGAATTCAATGATGTAATATCACTGTATACGAAAAACGATTCTGAGTGAAAATGGTTTATCAGTTTAGGATATGTTATACTATATTAATTATATTGTTATAATTTAAAAAAAAAAAAAAAACGTCGTCTGTAATTATTTAATATTATAAGATCGTGAAATCGTATTACGTTTTTTCTCCTTTAACCGCATTTATTTCGAGTACCGTTTCGAAAATCGAAAAATGACTTCTCTAAAATACCATCTCAAGAACATTACCTTTCAGAAAAGATGCTACACTTGATACTTTTGAGCAAGTTTAGAGGGAGAAAAGTATTTACAGTCTTACAGAATAAAAAAGAAAAAGAAAAAGAAATAAACATCATTGTAAAACCAATACATTCCTCGCTCCGCACTCAGAATCTAAAATTTAACGAATCAATAGCGAGCTAATTGTCCTTTAAATACGATTTAGTGACCTGTGATTGGTCCGTTAAATGTTGGTAAACCATTTTATGAATTTTCATTATGCAACTCGGCATTATAGTGAATGACAACTAAACGACTGACTGTTGGCCAGATCACGTGGTGATCACGCTTATATTATATATAAATTCTAAAGTGTAAAGACCGTAAAAATTTCACGATGCACCAACAGTCGAAAATATTATTTTAGTGGCTGTAGCACGGATAATAATAATATATACGTGTCGTGCGGAACGATTACTCTAGATTCTAGAACAGTCTCACCACAGATACAAGATATATATTATATATGAATAATAAATTAATAATAAATAAATTGACATCGAGTAATGGGGTAAAATATAGGTATTATTATTACATTTTTACTTAACAAGAATAATATTTATTATTTATGATATGATTTAAAATMAACAACGAAACTGATATCCTAAAACTGAAATAAATAGTTAATAAATAACTATCACATATTCACATCTCCTGCAAAATATTATCAGGTACGCATATAGAATTTATTGTTTATTAAAAAAATTTCTAAAAACTAAAGAAAACCCACTATAAGAACTTCTATTATGATCGATTTATAATCGATCTATATGAAACATTTTAAATAAAATATAACAGAAGGTATCTATACATGCATATTAGATACCATTTAGCTTAATTACAGTATTCACTTATATTACTCAAAATAAATATGTATTCAAAAAAATAAGGCAGAAGGTACAGCCATACAGTGGCTATACCTTATTGGTTATACACATCAGATCATCACACTCTATACATAAATAAATAGATACATATATTAGAAAAGTATTGTAATATTATTTTATATTTTAAAACAATAAAAGATATTCATTGTCGATGACTGAAAAAGCATTAGACACAGCAAGTAGAATAATTTAATAATAAATTATGTCTCTATTTTAAATCTGTCATCAGTCATTAGTCTGTGTTTAAAATGTCAAATAAAAAAAAATTCTGTATTGCTAAACCAGATTTAAATTTTTAGGTTTTAATTGAAATGTTATATTTTAAATTATAATATTCATTAAAAGAAATTTAGAAAATAAGATAATAATGTAGTAATATATTTATTATGTTTGTGTGTGTGTTTGTATTTATTTAATCCTATATACTATATTAAATTATATTATAATGTATTATCTATTTTATATGATCAAAATTTCAAATTATTTTAAAACCATGTAATTTGTGAAATTTAACATAAATATACATAGGCGGATGAATTAATTTATTTCCAAATGAATGTAGTTAAAAAAACATAATTGTTATTAACTAAAATTATGATTTGAGCTGCAAATGAAATTGACTTTAACATGTTGTTACAAATAGTGATCCTATGTGTCTAAAACTTGGAAACAAGTTTTACAAAGTTATACAACACCATTAGCAGATATAGTATACAAATACATCATTATCATCAATCATGTAATCTTAAAAATAGGTAGGTATACATTGTACCATATGTTAATTAATTTTATACATTTATAATAATCATTTACTGATAATTTACCGACCTCTTATATTATTTGGAAAACTTATTTATAAAATAATTAATTAATTATACGATATTGCATGTTGAATGGTGTTCAATCATAACTCAAATAGACGAGTTGCGCAATAATCTACCATGTTACCCATGTTATTATATATTCTACGTTGAGTTATAGAGTGTATTTATTTTTACAATGATAAAAATCTAAAATTGATTTTGTGACACTAAAAATGTAATTATCTACCGTTTAAGCCATCTAATAAAATCTATACTTTGGAAATTTAACATAAATTAATATTATACTTTAGATAAGGTAGTAACCATGAATTGGTACTGAACGATTTGGTAGAGGCTTTATGAGGAGCTCAAAAAAACTCATATAGTCCACCAAGGTATTTATAACAAATGAAATTATTCGAATTATCACTTAATAATAAAATTATCAAAATTTAATTTATAATATTAATTTTTCAAATTTTTTTTTGTCAACCTATTATTACAACCACAAATAATGTAAACTAAACATAATGCGAATGTTCCCTAACCTATAATCC